TCACCTGGAACTTGGTGGTTTAAAGCCAGAATATGCTGGTACTTATGGAAAGTCCTGTGTCATCGTTACAGATGGCCATATGGTAGCTTGTGTGAAATGTATGGGGGGTTTCCCATGAGCTCTGGCTGGCAAAAATACCCCTGTCATACTAGTGTTAACACCTCTGTGGGCAAGACCACAAGTGGGGTCCAGCAGAGGCATAATGAACAGGGTTTGTGCCTGGGAAAACCCTCCGGGAGAGCGGCGGGTAGGGGAGAGGTGTCACCAAGCATTGAAAAATCAGGGCAGTTCTGAGAGTGCGGTGGGCAGGGCACTGGGGTATTCCCTACACGAGGGACTCAAAACCAGTCCTCGGCTGCTGCTGCTCATCCTGCTGCTGTGGCCGAAGCATAATCTGACTGCCCAGGCTGTTGCTCTTACAGCAGCAGTGTGGTGTCTATGCACCCAGCAGCTGCTGAGAGAGCAATTCTGTGGAGCTGCCTTTGCTGCTATGCTGCCAACTCTTCTGTGGTGGGGGGCAAGTGTGACGCCCTTCCTAAGTTCATGCCTGAGGCTGCTGCCCCACTCACCCACTGTTAGTTATGCTACTGAGATCCAGGAGAATGGGTTATGGATGCTGGACAACCCTCTTACCCTGGGGAGGGGGGTTAGATGAGTTTGTCTTGTCACTGCTCCTGCTGTACCTGCTCTGGGGAAAGAAGACTTCTGCTGCTAGGCTGTCCATGTGGCACAAGGTCAACTGGATGAGTCAGGGGGTTGGCAAGGGGCTATGAAATCTTTCAGTCCTGGGCCAGAGGGTGAGATGGATGCTTCATGTGATGGATCCTGCCCTGTGTGGGCAGACTGCTAACAAATGTTCCATATAATGCCAGATACGTCTGTCTACTGGACAGAGTCCCTTTCCCCTCTCCCCCACTGCCTGCTAGATAATATGGACTTCCAGGCACTTCCAGTACAGGCTAATTCAAGCCAACAGCCTGGCAGAGAAAGGCTCTATCTCCCATTAGCAACCCTAGAGCCATTCCAGCCTTCAAACTCAGAGAGGGGTTCCTTCATGAGCTCTGCCTTCCAGTATCCTGGTGGCTGGGCTCACACCATCCTGCCTGCTTGGCCTTCCTAGAAGCTCCAGTCTTTGTCTTTCCAGAACAAGGCCCTGCTGCTTCTGAAAGTAAAATAAAAGGAAATCCAAGCATTTTCTGTGTGCCGGGGGAGGGGGGCTTGGAGAGCTGATGGATTTCCTGGATTTCAGGTCCTACTATGTGTGTTGCTTGCTGCTATAAAGCATCACAGGCAGCAGTGTGATACTGTACAGCAGGATCAGACTGCATATGGGAGAGAAGAGTAGGGACAGTGCTAGCAGAAAACCACCTTGATGCTTTTGTTTCTAATTTTCCCTAGCTATAGAAACAGTTCCTTCTGCTGCAGGAAATGATCTCTCCTGAAATACCCATATGCAGGCATCCCCCTTCAAAGGCTTATCGTGGGTGGGGGTGGACATGGGGAACCTGTTATCTTGCCACTCCAGGATCCTCTCGGTGGCTTGTGGGGAGGAAGGGTGGCTCTGTGCCCCCTTCGGTTTCCCTTTAAATGGAAGCCCTGCCCACTGAAATTGACACAGTCCTCCTTGCCTGGCCAATGGGAGCCTTGGCTGGGTGTTCTGTTTGTTACAAGTTTCACATTGCTGGAAGACACAGAGGGAGAAACAGAGAGCCAGTGTGTGTGAGAGGGAGCGTGGATGAGGGGGGGAAGAGAGAAAAGGGGGGTGCGACAGAGAAAGAGAGAGGCGAGAGATGCCTGTTTGGAGCAGCAGGCATCAGGGGGAGAAAGAGATGGCATATTAGACCATTACCATGAGCAGAGCCCAGGGCCTCTGCTGAAGATCTGTTCCATCTCTTAATAAACACATATTGCACCAAATGTCTCCTGTCCCTGGCAGGACCTTGCCAGCTGGTACCTTCACTCCTTCTGAAGCCTGAAAAAGCAAGGGGAGTTTAATTTTCATTTTTTCTTTTCCCATTGAAAAGGGAGTTACATAGATATATATTTTAAGGAGTGCAGGGGGGAGGGAAGCAGGGGCAGAGCTGGAATCAGGAGAGCTGCAGATTTGCTCCTTTTAGGAGTTCTGTGTACCTGGAGGTGCTGCATGTGAGCTCTTCTGAGTTCCTCCAAGCCTAGCAGCAGCTGTAGATGTGTGCCTGTGTGTATACTTAACCCTTTCTTGGCTCCTGGGATTAATACCATGCTGAAGATCCTCACTAAAAAGCTCAGGAACCAGAGTTTGAATGAGATTCAGCCTTTCCAGCTCAAGGTAAGAGAAACTCTGGGCACTTTTATTTGACACCCTATAGTTAATTGATAATAGGGGTAATAAAAGCTATTAACTTTCAACATTCAATACTCTGGGTCAGTTTCCTCTTGCCCAGCTCAGAGTGAGTCATGGTAGGCACTGGCCTGTACTGTATGAATGTTTTTCGCCTGTTACTTTGAACATAGGGCTACCTTTGCCAATACGGCTTGTACTAGAGAAGTGTGGGGGTGGTGGAGAACGGAGGCAGAATCATACTAGTTTTTCAATCTAGTAGTAGTATAAAGTAGTTTTAAGTGGTGCATATTTTCATGCTGGGATAGTTACTTTGTAGGATGGGATAAGTATGTGTGTGCACGT